GTTTGTTTGTTTGTTTGGAACTGCCTCCACCATATTATTCAACACAAGAGGGTGCTTGACTTGTACAAATGGTCTATTAGCCACTTCAGTCCGGAACTAACAATACAGTTACAAAGAATTGCAATTGCTGTATTTGGTCATTACACATATGTTAACATTATAAGCCCCATGTAAAGACTTACTGTAGGGCACCATGGCAACATGCATTCATATTCATGAGATGTATGGTAATGTAATTTTAGTGCTTCATTCCCATCCTCAGACTTGCATTTTCTCAAACATACTTTAAACAATTTTAGCGAGTGCAATAACATAGACATGCACCTCAATTTGTTTTACTTTCACTTGTGATCTATGTTTTTCTTTGCTATGTCTTAAACCAGAGGGGTTGTCGCACAACACGTGTTCGAATTTGATGTAAATAAACAATCTGTTGTATTTGCCACTTGGAACTCAAGTTTCAAAGACACGCTCGTGACAACCCCTCCGCTTTAACATGACAAGCACATAGAGAACTTTAACGGCTCTGTGTCATTTTCAATGACTGGTTATCAAAGTTGTAGTATGATTTGTTGGCATTGATTTTGATTGATTTTTTGGAGAGGTATAGGATATATCAGTATATATATATTTGGTCAGATTCTAGATGGCCAAATGGCGGCCATTTTGATATAAAAATTCACCAAAATCGAGCATTTTTAGATTGCCCCTTTCATTGGATTTAGCTTGCATTTGTTGAAAATTATAGATTAAACTACCAGTACCTAAAATCATAAAATGTACTTCATGCTTTTGGTCTTGAGATGTTCCAAAAAATGTTGGCATACTTATTCTTGCCATTGGGAACAATTTCATGCAATTGCAGAAGAAAGCAATGACCTAGCAATGACTGGTATGGTGCAAATGCTCAATTTTAATGAAGCACTAAAATGGCTGCCATTGGGCCATCTTGAATTGGATCATGAAACAAACTCATGTGCTTTGGTATGATAGGAAGATTGATGTATGTGTAAAAGTTGAATGTGATCAGTCAAGGCAGAGATGTGGCCTTGGAACAACATTTATTTGTACATGTCTGTTTGTGTATTCAAGAGCTGTCAAGATATCGTCTGATAACAGGGATATGCATGGTACTGACAAACGAGAATTACTGTTTTAATAATGGACATTATAATGGTATTATAATTCTTTGTAATGTTTCAACATTTCATTTAGCATTATTCTGTCAATAAATTACTGAAGTGATTTAATTTGTCTGTAAAAGGAACGCTGTTGCAATGGCCAAAACAACTGACCAGAGTAGATAGTGCCCTCTGATGAGAATCCCCACTAGGAAAATGCATTAAAAGGCTTGAGCTGAATGGAGGCAAAAATCTGCCTTATTTGAATAAATAAATAATTAACAAAACATTATAAAGTTGCATTCTAGCCTTGCAATTTTCATGACATTTTTACTGTGATATCACGTCTGGTGGTATCGACTAAAATTCTCTTCATCTTTCCTAGTTGTGTCTCTTTGTGTAACAATGTTGTTTCTATATAATCTTTCATAGGGTATTGGATTTTACAGCTGATAGCAAAGGAATTTCAACAGAAGTTAAAAAGTCATTTTCGTAAGTTTCCTATTTTTGTGTCATTTTCACTCTTAATCTTGATAGTAATCTTTGATAGTTTTGTTTACTTGTAATAAGATATTTATTGGTTATCTTATGTTTACTTGTAATCAGATATTTACTGGTAAACTTATGTTTACTTGTAATCAGATATTTACTGGTTATCTTATGTTTACTTGTAATCAGATATTTACTGGTAATCTTATGTTTACTTGTAATCAGATATTTACTGGTAATCTTATGTTTACTTGTAATCAGAAATTTACTGGTAAACTTATGTTTACTTGTAATCAGATATTTATTGGTTATCTTATGTTTACTTGTAATCAGAAATTTACTGGTAAACTTATGTTTACTTGTAATCAGATATTTACGGGTAATCTTATGTTTACTTGTAATCAGATATTTACTGGTTATCTTATGTTTACTTGTAATCAGATATTTACTGGTTATCTTATGTTTACTTGTAATCAGATATTTACTGGTTATCTTATGTTTACTTGTAATCAGATATTTACTGGTTATCTTATGTTTACTTGTAATCAGATATTTACTGGTTATCTTATGTTTACTTATAATCAGATATTTACTGGTTATCTTATGTTTACTTGCAATCAGATATTTACTGGTTATCTTATGTTTACTTGTAATCGTATATTTACTGGTTATCTTATGTTTACTTGTGATCAGATATTTACTGGTTATCTTATGTTTACTT